CACTGTGCCCTTCAGCTTCATGGTCTCTGTTAAAATCCCTGCATTAACCCAAATGTGACAGGACAGACCCTCCCCAAGCTCCACATTCCTGTAACCACGTGCCAAACAGGCCCCACTGCTGCATCATCTCCTAGGATGTTATTTCCTTAACAAGACTGAAAAAGGGCTGAACATACAGAACCTGTGTGCTCTACAGAGCAACACGTTGTGATTTGTCATGAACAACGAGGTCACCTGATGCTCTTGGGTCATACCAGGCCTGCACTAATTTGTGGACTTACAAGGCCTGTTTTACAACACATTAAAACACTTGGGATAAAAGGAGCACTTGCTCATCAGTTAGCTGGGATCCTGTGGGCTACTTCCAAGGGATTCAAGAAAGAAAGAACTAATCGAATTAGCAATAGGCTTAAATTTAGCAAAGAGTTTTCAAATCCTAAAAAGTAATGGAAAACATTATTAAAACTTAACTGCAGCCTAAAGCATCAGTATTTGAGACATTTATTAGCTTTCCTACATACTAGTGTATACAAAAATGCAGTCAGAACAGAAGGAGTTGTGTTGGCTTCACAGGAGCATCCAGGAGCTGTTCCCACTGCTGAGGCAGGGCAGGGCACCTGGGACTTGGTACCTCCTCAGACAGTGAAGGACACAACACCTAAGCTCTTACCAAAATTGCTTTTGGTGTCCAACACTGGAAAATCAGTTTCCATCTTACTCTGAAACCTGCCTAAAAACAGGCAAAGACAACAAAACTAAAACCAGTCTCAGCTTCCCTGCTCCTGACAGCCTGACCTTGGTGGGTACACATGCATGTTGGAGTATTGACCCCCTGCCTCTCCCACCGGACTGGAGGCTGACGGAGAAGGAACTGCCAAGAAATTCCCTGTTAACTGCAGCCCCTCTGTGTCTTCAGCCATCTCTGGACGAGGGACAACACTGCTGCCAGCACTGGGGCCGGAGGGAACAGAACAGAACAGGCTGTGCACGAGGTGTTTTCTCCAGGTTTTGAGAGAGAAGGGGGAATAAGGGGACTGTGTGCTCTATCCAAGAACAGGGAACAGTGGCTGAGAAACAGCATTCCTTAAGCTGTTTGGTTGCTATGAAAAGCACAAGCCGTAAGAGGATATCTCCTCTAGATATCTGCTCAGTGCCCGGCCAGGTGCTCCTGCTCCCAGCCATCGCCCGGATCGCATAACCCGAGGGGCTGCAGCCGCTCCCCATCCACCGACTGCTGCTCAGCACCTGCACTCTGACAGCTACAGACTGCAAACCCAGTCAGAACTACACGAGGCCACACGCTTCTCGTTCTTAAAACACTTAAACCCCTTATCTTCCTTTCCAGCTTGGAGAAGGAGGGCAAGGCTCCTTACCCATGCCAAGGGCAGGGCCAAGGCTGCAGAGACAACCGCACTCACCCCGCTAGGGAAACGTCAGCGAAAGAGGGGGGCGAAAAGGGGGCGGCTGCAGCCCCCGGCCCAGCTCCTCCTCCCCCGCGGGGTGCCGTCTGTCAGACAGGGCTGCCGGGGCCAGACAATGACAATGACAGTAACAATGACAATGACAACGACAGTAACAATGACAGCCCCGCCGTTCCCGTACCTGCTCCGCGCCACGGCCGCCGCCATCTTCCCACGCCGCCGCCGCCACCGCGTCCTCTGCCGCGTCCCGCGCGAGAGGGCGGGAACAGCGCGGGGGCGGGGCCAGGGGCGGGGCCGCGGCCGTGAGGGGGCGGGCGGGGCTGGGCATGGCCTGTGTGAGGGGGGTTGTTCTTGAGGGAACCTGTCGTGTGTGAGGGGGTTGTTCCTGAGGGAACACACCGTGTAGGGAGGGGTTCATTTCTGAGGGGAGACACGGAGTGGGGATACGGCTGCGAGGCTGTTCTTCAAAGGGGGGTTTGATCTGTGAGCAAGGCTGTTCTCTTGGCGCGGGGGAAAAAGGGGCCGTCGCTGGGGCGATGTGGGGTGGGGATAGGGCTGGCCCTGAGGGGACATTTTCCAGGGGATGTGGAGTGGGGACGGGGTGGTGGCTCCTGAGGGTTTGTGCCATGGAAATGGAGCTGCCCCATGAAAGGGCTGTGGGCTGTGCCCAGCGGGAGGAGGGCGCTGCTGCTGGGAGTTCAGGATGAGGCAGGTGGGGTTCAGCTGCTTTTCAGTGCTGCTGTTGACACACAGGTGAGTTATTTGCCCCAGGTGTGGGACCACCAGGAATATTAAGGCAGGGATTTTAGGGAGAGGACAAACGACATGGGACAGACACGATGCTGTTCCTCCAAGTGAGGTGTGTGGTGGGGTAGTGCAGTAAGACCTATTCCTCCTCTGGTGTCCTTTGCCTGGCTGCCTGCTGCCCAGAGGGAATTTTATAGAGGTTATTTGGTTTTCCACTCTCTTAGATGCATCCCTAGATGAATAAATGCTGGGAAGTAGCTAATTACTTGTCTCTGACAGTGACAGAGGGGTAGTTTCACATGGTGAATCAGTAGGAAAAGAATTCAAGAGTCCTGGCTGTGTTTCCACATCCTTAGTGCTTTAGGACATGGTCCTCAGGCAAGCTGATTAATTTAATTTAAATTCCTGATTTATGTTTGTATTTTTTCCTGACCAGGCCTAAATGAAATCTATAACACCTTCATGTGATTCTGCCTTTTTTCCACATCACCATAGGTAGTAGTATCTATATAAGTATCTTAAACATGTGCAGGAAAGCCTTTCATTGTTAAACATGTGAAATTTGAGGGGAAATCCAGACACAGACCTCATGAAACAGTAATAATATTAGCTGACTGAATGGTTGGGATTTACATATCCTATACATAATGGTAGGATTGGCACAAAGTAAAACCTCAAAGAAGGTGGGATTTGGTGTTGTAAGGGGCTTTGGTACAAGCCTTGCAAGAGCCATTACCTTTGATGTGTAAGAGCACCCCACTGATGGGCCTGACAGACAAGTTTCCCCAGAACTGACTGAGAAGTGATTCAGAGGTTAAGGTGCAGTTAAATGTAACACATTGTTTATAGTGTAAAATAATTGTCACAAGGCTAAACTGATTAATAATCTGTCCTGATCTAATCTTTCTCCTTGGAATTAAAAGTAAATATGTGGATGTGTAACTTTTTAAAAAATATTTTATAATGTGTCTTGTTATTAGATTTATGGGTTTTTTTAACATCTGGTGAGATTATATGGTCTGCACTCACTGAGAGTTAAAACTTACTTCCCTAAGGATACTGAGCTGTGCTAGGCCTGTGCAGCTGAGCCAAGCCAAAGAGGGGATTAATATCACAGCTCCTCCAACAAATGAGAGACTGGAGATCTTGGGGCTTCAGAATGTTTGTTTCAGGTGATGCCTTAAGTTTTAGCTTGCATATTTTCCAGGTTCTCTACTGCCTTAGTGTGTAGCTCTGAACTTCATACAAAGTATTAGCAAGTTCTCTTCACAGTTTAGTCAGACAAAACAATCCTAATTCAGCCTGAGAACCAAGGACAGCAGCTTCAGGCCCACAAAGGATAAAGGACAGAGAACTGAGGAGAGCAATCTGGGAGGATGGGACTTCATAGCCTGAAGCTGTAATTGGACAATTAACCCCAATATGTAAATGGACCAAAACTTCTAAAAGTGTGAACACTCAGGACTGCTTGTCCATCTTGTGTCCATCTTGGGTGTAGCCTCGCTGGGCTCTTGCACTGCCCAGGGTGTATCCTTTGAAGGCCTTTAATAAATACCTGCTTCATTCCTTTAGCTCTGCCTAGCCTGTTCCAGGTGGTGCAGGAAGAAATGGGGAATGCCTCAGGCTGGGCTTGGAACAACCTGATTTAGTGCAAGGTGTCCCTGCCCTTGGCAGCAGGGTGGAACAGGATCAGCTTTAAGGTCCCTTCCAACCCAAACCATCCTGGGGTTCTGTGTAACTCCTCCTGTGATCAGATCAGTGGGAAACAACACCTCAACAAGTGCTGCAGATCTAGAGAGGGAACTTGTGAAACTCAGGAGATGTGCATTACGTGAGTGTGAAAGAGGCAGGTGGGGAATGATGACTGAATCACTAGGGAAGGGTTATAAGGCAACAAAAGAAATCTGGGAAATGTGTCTGCAAAAATACATTAAGTAAACAAAGCACCAGGGAGAGCTGTAAAATCAAGAAGGAAAAGAAAGTAGGATAAAGACTCTATTTCTCCAGAACTCTTGGAACAGTTAATTCTTTCCTGAACAGAAAAGATTAAACCATATTCACAATATTTCATACATCATCAGACACTTCTGCTTATATATAATACATAAATTTATTTTTTCTCTTATATTTAATATATAAATAAATGTATTTTTTTCTACTATAGAATTAATGATGTTAATAGCTGCTGTAGAGTAATTAAGAGGTAATAATACTTCAGGTTAAGCATTAGAAAATAGGGGAATAAAGCAGTTTGGATGAGATTGCTAGGCTGGAATGGAATGAAGAGAATCAGGACAGTCAACAGTGTCCCAGGTCTGTTCTGAATTCTTAGGGAGGCATAGGACTACTTTTTGTTTAAAATTACTCAGGAGATAAGCCATTATCAGGTGAAAAAAAATAAGGTAAGAAAGACCCTTCTGTATTCTGTAGAGATGTGGTCATTAATTTGGATAATTCACTTAGCTTTAGGTATCTTTTTTGTAAGTTAGGTGTAAGTCTTGCCCATCTCCCAAAGGCTTTAGGTGCCTTTTGAAACAGCAGAATTTCTATTTCTTTTTAAAGCAGAGGCTCACATTTCTTTCTGTGTCTGATAAAAATAGAGCAGATAATGCATGGATATTTTCCATCTGTGGGTAGGAAAGGGACCCTTTCCCTTTCTCCTTTGCTACAAGGATATACCATCCTCTGACTGTTCTTTAAAATCTTGGTTTATCCTCGTTGATATCTAAACCCCCCTTGTTATCTTCCAGAAGCTTTGGTAATCACTGTGGAATTCCTGGTATGAGAATGCAGAGCTCAGGGTAGAGAGAAGATCCTTGCTGAAGAGCTGTAATGATGAAGACAGTGATTTTAATTGTCCTAATCACCTTCTCTTTGCTGGCTTCAGGTAAGGCTGATGCAGGGAGGGAGAGAGAAGGGTGGGGGACGTTTAAACTAATAAATGCTTTGCTTTTGTTTTCCTCTGTGCAAAGAAAGAAGTTGCAGTTAAAGCCGTGCCTGTATTTTTTCTGTTTGATCATTGGCAGATGGTGACCTTTTAGTTTTGAAGCAGTTTGATACACAACTTCCTCAGCAATTCGGTGAGGCTTTGTTTCCTCTGAATAGCTGAGATCTGGGGACTCGTTAGCGGTGTCAGAACCAAGCACGGACCTCAAGCTGCTCCCCTCTAAAACCTCTACTGGTTCTTCTTGGAATTGTGCTGAATTAACACCAAAACAAGTGGAGCACTAATGTCTGATGCTATGCTCAAAGAAATGAAAACTTCAATGATTTAATTGTACACATTGCTGGTATTCATAGCTCTCCAGAGAGTCAAATGCTTAAACATCTGGAAATGACAATGTTAGAGATATTGTGGCACTTTCTGTGTGTTCAGTCCTGGTTTTCATTACAGGGCTTAAGATTCTCTCGAGTTACATAACTGCATGCTATTTTTGTGTACAACAATCACTTCTTTCCTCCTTAAATGTCTAGTGTCTTCTTGGAGATGCATATGATGATATATTTCAGAGAAATAATACAAGACAGAGTTATTGCAGCCTAAAGCAAAAGAGAAAGTTTTGTTGGCATGTCTGGATTCCTTTAAGATGTAGCTTTATAGTTGGTTTAAACCCACTGAGCCTCCAAGTCCTTCTAAAAAAGGAAGTTTCACCTTCACCTCCACCCTTAATTGCATCTTTTTGGTGTGTGAAAGCACCAGAGGAAACAGCAGAGCAAAGGTTAAAAGCATGGCCTGTATTGATAACCAAGGGCAGCAGTAAAACTGATAAACCCCAGAGAATGCATGTTCACATCAAGGTTAGAAGGTCTGTGCTCTGCTAGAGTCACATCCCAGTTGACTTTTTGGGAGAAAATCTGCACTCTGGTAACAGGAAGATGTGACCCTGCATTGTAAGTGCCATTCCTTCTCTTGCTATGCCAACAGGAAAACAGGCCCTGGCCTTAAACACATCCTCCCCTTTGGTTCCTTCTAATTTTGGGTGGCAGCCTTACCCAAAATTCACTAAGGTTGAAGCAAGGAAGATTCTGTGGCAGAAGATTTTGCCATAATAATTGCTGATTCTTGACAAATCTGCCTAAAACTGTTTGGTTGCTTTCAGTCAAAAGGAAGCAAAGAGACATATTAAAGATTCAGCATCAAATATTGTCCTCATGTTGGGAAAAAGTGACCTTGGTCACATCTCTTGGGTTCCTGTAAGTGTGTGGGTATTTGAGTGTGAGTGAGCACAAACAAGCTGTTGGAAATTAAATAAAATACAATAACCTCTCTCTTCCATAAGGTGTTAAACTGAGGGTTTTTAATGAAATCCTACAAATCTTGACTTCTCTTTTTAACCCTCTAGGGAAGAAATTCCGATGGTGCACCCTTTCTGACCTGGAACAAAGAAAGTGTGCTGAGCTCTCCAAAGTGCTTGCAGCTGTGCTGCCCCTCACTCCTGCCAGTTCCTTTACTAGGATTTCTTGCATCAGAGCCCACAATACATATGACTGCATTGATAAAATCAGGGTGAGTTCACAGAGATTTGAAAAACTGATTTTGTGTCCAAATCCTCTTGGAAAAGTAACTGGTAAACAGAAACTATGGGCAAATAAAATGATACTGAAATAATGGAACTGCTTAAATGACACAGTACACAGTCACTTGAGAGGCAAGAATTAAATCCTGTGAGCATCCTGCCAGATGTACTGTTTTACCCCAGCTAATGTCTTTGCAATCTCCAAGAAATAGTGAAAGCTGCTTGCAAATAAATAGGCAAAAGAAAACTACTAAATTAAAATTTGTTGAGGCAGAAACTGTGGTCTTGAGGCAGAAACTGTTTGTTTCCTTGTAAACACATTTGTTTTGAGGGTTTTTCTGTTGTTTTAAAGGCCAATAAAGCAGATGCTGCCTCCTTGGATGCTGGAGATGTTTACTCTGCTGTAAAGCTGTATGGTTTGGCAGTGGTGGCAAAAGAGATCTATGATCAAGGTAGGCTGGGAAAGCTGAGGAGTAAACTGTACTTCTGATTTGGCTAAGAGATGGCTCCAGATTTCTTGAAAAACAAGTCAATATGTTTTTTATTTTCTTTGTAGGAATATGGAGGTGGCTAACAATTGTTTCTAAAATAGTTAATGATGATGAATAATACCAGTGGTGCTTTGTACCCAGCAGCCTTTCTGCCTGTGGTACTGACAGACTTGCATTGCTTGTTTGACAGGGTGCCCTGTAGCCAGTATGTGGTTAAATTCCTGGCACGAGTACCTCCATGGACTAGGCCTAGGATAATTTCTTCTTTAGCCATGTTCACTGAAGTAATTCAGCTCCTCTTCAGAGGTGGAAGCTGCAGAATTGAGATTGTTTTTTTTCTGTTCCACATTTTGTGCTATTGCAGGAAATTGTGTGTTTGCTGTGGCCATTGCCAAACGAGGAACTCTGGAGATCCAGAACCTGCGAGGTGCGCGCAGCTGTCACAATGGAGCCAGGTGGACATCGGGCTGGAATATTCCCCTTGGCTTTCTCCTGGCAAGGAATTATCTTTCCTGGGATGAGGCCCAACCTCTGAGCCAAGGTAGGTGATAGGAGCCACAGGGCTACCTCTGGCCACAGTGAGTGTAACTGAAGTGCCAGCAGATGTAGGATGAACTGGGTATGGCCATGATATGTCTGGCCCCTTTTTCTCTTTTGATTTTTTTCCCATTTGACCTTTTTCTTTCTTTTTGTTTTGTTTTGTTTTTTCCCCTACACCTGCAGCAATTAGTGAGTATTTCAATGCAAGCTGCATCCCTGGGGTTGGTGTTGCTGCTCCTCGATTGTGTGCTCTCTGCCAAGGACAAAAATCCTATGTCAGAGACAGGAACCACTTCTGTGAGACAAGCAGTAATGAACCCTTCTATGACTCCGAGGGAGCCTTCAGGTGAGCTCTGGGACACTGGGCCTGAATTCACTTTTGGGGGAAAAAGAAATTTTAAAGTAGGAAAGCCAGGTGAAATGTTAATAGGATGGCATTTGTCTTCCTGCAGGTGCTTGAAGGATGGAGTGGCAGATGTTGCCTTTTTAGATCATCTAAGAATTATGAGTGCCACAGGTAATCTTAAAGATGCAGTTTTCTTTTCATCTCTGTCTGTGCTCTTTCCTGTGTAGATGTTTGAGGGATATGCCTATATTTTTGTTGTTTCCAGGGAAAATTGAATCCCTGCAAGCAGTTCAGGGGTATTTCTTGGCTCTCCACAAAACTCAGAAAGAAACAGAACAGGAAAGTGTGAGTGAGCAATGATTGCTCACAGGAGATTCTTAAAATGGGAGCAGACAGGTGATTTCATTAGCTGTCAGTATTTGCTTTGCCCGAGTTACAAGATTCCTTTTAAAATTCAGCATATTGAGCTGCATAACTGTGAAGTTCCTGTACACCTGCCTTGTACTTTTAAACTCAGTTGAGCTCTATACCAAAGGTGGTTAGCAGTAGCATTTGCAGGTAAGTATTTGTAAATCAATGTATTTACAGCAGTATAGCTTAAAGAGCAGCTCTGGCTGAGGTCCTTCTCTTTGTTATAAGAAGTATTTACCAAAGACAGCTTTCCCAAGTGTGCTTGGTACACCATGCTGCCTGCATAACCTTTAGCAACCTGCACTGAAAAACATTTTATACTCCATCTCTGTGCCTGCTGGCAAGCCATGGCTCTGGTCACAAATTCATGAGTGTCTCCTTGTTTCAGAGTCAGAAAAAGAGGAATATGAGCTCCTGTGTCCTGATGGGTCCACAGCTGAGCTGACTGAATACAGCACTTGTAACCTGGGCAAGGGGCCTGGCCGCGGCATCGTCACCCGCAGCAACTTCCAGAAGATCACCAACAAATTTCTTAGCATGATCCAAGTGAGTTAATATTATAAGCTGTCTATGTCCAGACACAGGTTTTTCTTCCATCTTTGTGTGGCAATCATGACCCAGGTTGCCTTTTTTCTTGAGAAATTTATAATTAGTGTGAATACAGTGCTAAAAATTGTTCGTTGGGGGAAGGATCTTGCATTGGCTTGTGTAAGGTTTTGCTTTTTTCTAAAGTGTTCTTCTATAGGAGGCTGAGAATAAATCAGTAAAGAAGGGGAAGATGCCATAACACACAAACTGTAAAATGGCTAATGATGTTCATCCTGCCATGGAACTTGAATCAATTTTTATGTAGCTGAGGGAGATTCATAGGTTCAGGCAGGGCTCACTTTTCTTCATGTCTTTTTCTCCATTTATAAATAGTATTTGATATCTTGACCACTGGTACAAAGGCAGGGAAGACTGAGGCTGCCTGTTGCTGGAAGAATGAGGAGATTTGTTGCCATTTAAAAGTGTTGTTCTTGTCCTAGCGCCTCTTTGGGCATAAAGGAAAGGAAAGAGCCAGATTTGAACTCTTCAGTTCAGCACCCTTTGGGGGACAGAACCTGCTGTTCCGAGATGCCACTCAGCACCTGCAGCTTCTCGAGGAGCAGCTGGAGATTGCCTATGTCCTTGGTCTGGATTATGTAGCTCTCCTTAAGGGACTTGGCCATGAAGGTGAGAACCATTCCAGGGCACTGTAGCTAAGGAGAGGGAAGAGAAAGTTCTGCTTCCACATTATTCCTCCCACCAGGCACAAATGCATTTACCTGAAAATCCCCTTGACATGTCACAGATTGGGGCACTGGTGACGTGACCTGCTTCCATTTCAGGGAGCTCCTTGGAGAACAGCGTCGTGCGCTGGTGCTGCATCAGTGATGCTGAGCTCCACAAATGTGAGGAGTGGGCACTGAGCATCAAATCTGACCCCTTGGTCTGTGTCCAGGCAACTTCCATGACCAAATGCATTGAAATGATCAAGGTAGGAGACTCCTTCTGCTCAGGGTAAGACTGCACTGGCTATGTATGTCTTGTCTGAGCTAAAGAGAGGAAAACTAGCTTGAGGAATGAGTGGGAATGAGAGGGAATTGATGCAGGGGAATTTTCAGCCAGTGGAGAAGTCCTGCTGCTTAGATACTCAATTCATGCAAATCCTGTTTTTGTTATTTTCTCTAATGCTGCTGGCAGAGTAGTGAGGCTGATGCAGTCACCCTGGATGCAACACATGTGTACATTGCAGGGAGATGTGGACTGGTGCCTGTAGCTGCAGAATGCTATGGTGAGTTCTCATGTGACCTTATCAAGAAGAGAGGCAATCAAAAGGTACTGTTAAGAATATAGTTTAATTTCCACGGTTTGTGATGTTTTGTGATGGAAGCAGGAGTCAGTATAAATGTCCAAATACTCTTCCCAGCTCTTCCACTAACTGGCTCCAGCATTTGCTCTGTTTATTTTATCCCTTCTGTTAAAGGGACAAAGATGCTGACATGGCTGAAGAGGTTCACAAGGGTTTTGAAGGAATGCTGCTATGTAAAAGGGATGACAGCAGTTGCAAGATCCTTAATGTTTATCTCTCCTTCCAGGGGGAGATTGTGCCCCAGCAGCTGAGACCATGGAGAAAACAGGGAAACTAATTCATCTTAAGCACAAAGGTAACAGAAACTTTCTAGAGTTTATGCAGGAATTTATTTGCATGTTGGTTTAGAATAGAATTTCCTGTGCAAGGACAAGAACTTTGTGGCTAAGCAAAGAGCAGGTCCTGTACTGTAACTGAAGATGCTGTGACAAGATGAGGGAGGGAAGGGGGGCTGTACCCTTGTGGAATACTGAATTGCCTTGGTATAACTGGCTGTTGTCATTGTTTCACAGCACTTCCACCAGTTTATGCTGTTGCCCTAGCTAAGAAAAGTGCCAAACAGATTCACATCCATAACCTGAGGGGAAGGAGATCCTGCCACAGTCACCTGTACAGTCCTGCAGGATGGTTACTTCTGTCCAGACACACAGTAGGAGCTCAGCAGAATGACACTGAGAACTGTGATGTTGCCTCTGGTAAGGGCTGCCTCTGGCTTCTCTCTTAACTAGACCATGAAAATCTGAAGCTTAAATTTGTGAGTAAAATAGAAACAGGGCCATGAGGATCCAACCAGCAAGTGATGACTACAGTTTCAGAGGGTGTTGAAGCAGCTTTTCCTCATATTTGACTATGTGTCACACTATTTAGCCCTCTTCGTGCTAGTTGTTAGGATGAAATTTCTTTCCTGTCTTTTCCCATATGTGAAGAGCCTTGGGAACACCTTGCCCTTATCTCATCTCATCTCAGTTTTCTTTACTCAGCTTATCAGAACTACTTTTGGAAGGGCTGCATGCCAGGAGCAGATGGGAACCTGTGCAAGGTGTGCATTGGAGATGGGGAGGTGGAAGGAGCTCGAGTGTCCAGCAGATGTGCTGCAAGTCACAATGAACGTTACTATGGCAATATGGGAGCACTCAGGTGAGAGCCAGAAATGCAGGGCAGCAGCCACAAGTGCCTTATTACTTTGCTGATTTGGGTTTTTTTGGAAGGTTTTTTTTCCCCTATTTGTTAAGCATCTGTCTGTATAAACTTTTGCTAGTGTGTATTTTGTTTTGGTTGCAGTTGCTATGGGATGTTCAGCTGACTGATGGTTTCAAATGGTCATTAAACCATTTCCAGAGCAAGGCAATGCTTCCAAACATGTACAGTTCAGAGCATTGGTACTGACTCATTAAAGGGAAGGGATGAAAGAGGACCAGAGAGCAGAGGTGCAGTGTAGCATACAGGAGATAATTAAATAGAGTGGAAATAAAAAAAAAATAGTGGAAGACAGAGGCAGAGAAGACTATTAAAGGTGAAACTTTTATGAAAGTTTAAGAAAGCACTCTTATGAAATATACATAATGTATTTGGTTGAATTCCATTCTCTTTCCTGCCTAGGCATGGGTGAAGGTGCACATTGGAAGCTGCTGTAAGGAATGAAAAGGATTGTTTTAGCAAATCTCTATGCTGAGATCACTGACATATTCCAAGGGATTAGAGATGGGAGGGATACTTCCAGCTACTCCAATTTTAGCTTCAGCTGACTGTCCAAATGTCAGCCACCATGTGTCTTTGATCCCTTTTATTTTTTCTTGCACTAGGTGCCTAGTTGGCAATCCCAGTGGAAGAAGCTTTGGAGATGTAGCTTTCCTGGAACACTCAAACCTGCTCCAGAACATAGAGGGTGAGATGCAGATATTCTCTTTTCTTTTGAGAATGTTCATTAATGTCAGTTACTTCCCACAAAGCAACCATCACTCGTGAGGATCAGCCTGTACAGGTTTACTCTAGGTCCATGAAGTTGTGTTTGTAAATGGAAGACTGCTAGAAGCTTTCTCCATGTAGGTGTTCCAGTAAAGCTCAACATTCAGATACTGTAAGAGAGGAAAAAAGAGGAATCAGCCAGTGCAAAGATATGTGTTGGGATAATCATCCTTGGAGACTGCACTAAATTTCTGGAAGCTTTAAATGTCACAGCTTTAAAAGGCAACTCAAAATATGTTTTTCTTAGAGTCAAGCAGAAAAGGAACCCACATTAAAGCAAAATAAAATTCTATTTTAGCCCATTCCAGTAAGAGAGGGGAGTTTTCTAAGAGAGGAATCTCTCTAAAATCAAATGAAAGTATAAGGGGCTGGAAACCCACAGGAACTCCTGCAACAATTAGCAGTTTGTCTGGGGAAGCAAAGGGCATTAGGCTGAATCCCTTTGTTTCCAGAAAGGGATGTGGTTACAGATGCAGATGAGATGTGAGATGCTGTTCATATGCCTTGATTTGATTCTGTTTTGGTTGATAGGTGCAGCTTAAGTTCACTGCCCTCCTTGAAGACACCACCCTGGCCCTTCTGCATTCCTAGGAAATGACCACATAGCACACTGCGCTTGTTTTGAACACATTGACTAAACTTCTCAAGTTTTAACATTTTCTTTGAGATTCACCCTCTCTTCTGCTTTAATTTTCCAAAAGGATTACCTTTCCCTTCATTTTCTTTTCAGAACTGAGCAGCTCTGGTTGGGCAGGAGGTTATTCCCCCCTTGACTTTGACCTGCTGTGCCCGGACGGAAGGCGCGCCGCAGTCACAGAGTGGGCCGGCTGTAACCTGGGCCCCGTGCCCCCCAGCGCAGTCATGACCCGACCAGTCACTGTCACTAAAATCTCTGACTTCCTGCTGAAATCTCAGGTGTGACAGGTAACAGGGAAGAGCTTGCCATGTCACCATTTGTGATGTACAACTGCTGAAAACCCTTTCAAGATGGAAAGCTTTATATACTAGTGCCTTCAGATCCAGTACAAAAGAATGTGCATAGGAGATTGAGAAAATTGGTATTTGGGTTCTCTTAAGGGGTATTTTGGCACCAGTTCCCAAATTCCCATTCCACAGAGGCCATACTTTTGCTGAGAAATAAGGCACTGCAAACGTGCATCTTTTTGTACTAATATGAACTGTGCTAGATAAAAGTGCTATTAATGACCCAAGCTGTGAAATTTTTATTCCTTTTCTGTTCAGGAATCTCTGGGAAGCAAATTGAATTCTGAATTCCAACTCTTTCAGTCGTGGAAGTATGGTGGAAGTGATCTGCTTTTCAAGGACACCACTCAGTACCTTGTTCATGCAAGTCACCTGAGCTATCAGGAGATCCTTGGAGAGTCTTTCATTCAGCTGGCAGAATCAGTGTTTAATTGCACACCTGCAGGTAAAGTCCAGTTCTGAATTCAGAGTTAGAGAGCAATGCAGCAGGCAGCCTTGTGTGCACAGCTCTGGCCCTTTTGTTGACACTGCATGGAGAAGTGTGTTCTGCCTAATCCTGTTCATAACAAATTTCTAAGGAGTCCTGTGTTAGACTTCTGTCAGACTAACTGGGTCATTGCAATTCAGAAGGGGAATTTGACCTCTATTTTGCTGTCTGCTATTTTAATGAATAGCATCTGAAGAACGTACTACTTTTGAAGCTGATAGCATCTCTAAGTGTACACTTTCTTACTGGTTTGTAGGCATCTTGGACTTCTGCAAACAGGATATCTGTGCATCCTCATCCAACTGACAGCTCCTACAGAGGCTTTGCAGGGCACAAAACATCAGCATCACTGCTGAGAACAAGGAAAATGTGCAAATCCAGCCAATCCAAAGCAGTCAGCAAGGAAACAGTCATCTCCAGAAATGTATGCTGAACACCTCCTTGTCTTTTTTTTTTTTCCATCAGATTTTATGTTTATGATGATGTAATACTATTCACATATTATGCCTTTCTTTTTTGGAGCATGGCAGCATGGGGAACAGCACAACCAACAGCACAGAACTAGGATCAGCATTGTGGAAAGAGCAGGGCCAGTACCATGGACTAAAATACAGACTTGGTAGGAGTGGCACAGGTTAGTTGGTAGCATTTTGCCTTGTTTGTCTTATAAACAGTTTCCATGCAAAAACCCCAATCAACTTTGTAGTTGCAAGGTTGTGTTCTTGTAGCTGTGATTTTGGTTGCAGGTAGATAGCCCCTGCTGAATGCACATCTATATTTCTTCTTTAACCAAATCAAAACATTTCTTCTCACAAATAAATGTATGAAGACATTTAACCTCCAGCAGAACTGGATGCTTGCAGCAGTGGATATTTCTCTTTGTCAAGACCTCCAAACCATTACTTTATACTGACCCTTTGGATCTGAGATTCTCTGAAATGTCAAAATACTATCTATCAATTAAACAGCACAAGTTTCTGCTTGTAAAACTGCCTGAACGTGATATGAAGCCCTTTGAACAGAAATCATCTGTTCATCAGCTGTATCCTGTTTTTCCCAGTATGGTGACAGAGCCAAATCCTCAGATGCATTTGCAGCCAGCAAGCTGCAGCCCTGAAGGGGCAGGGAAAGAGCAGGATGCTGGTTTAGGCCTCTCAGGTGTTCCTGCCTTTCTTTCCTGGCGCTTCCCTGCCATCTGTGGGGCACTTGGGAGAAGGCAGTTCTGAGAACACGGTGAAGAAATGCAGCTGGCAGCCTTGCTGTGCCAAGAGCAGCCTGCAGCTAATCAGGGATAAATTAAAGATCTGGGTTATACACAAGCTGTTATGGGTTGGGAGGGCAGGGATGTTGTTTTCAGACACAGACATTACCCATGGTACCAGGCCTTGTGGCTGATCCTGTGCTCCAGCTCTGCTTCACAAACAGCACTGTGCTGCCTTGCACAGCCTGGGTACATGCACCAGCCTCAGCCCTGAATCCCAGCTCTGAGCTGAGCAGGAGCTGTTGGTGCTTCTGAAGAGAGGGATGCTGCCTCAGTATTCTGAATAGCAGCTGAGATCTTGCTTAAAATCTGCCAGGCTGGGATGAAGGAACACCAGCACTGCTGCTGTGTCTCAATAACAGCACTCCCTGTTGCCCAACACTCTTGATCTCTTGGGAGATTTGACCTTTCCCCCCTGCATGTAAGACATATTATCATGCATATTTACCCAGACAAGCCTAAAGGCCTTAAAAACCTGAAAAGTTCTCAGAAAAATTTATTTCCATAAATTAAAAACACACACAAAAGAAACAGTAAAATTTTAGATTCACACAATATTGAACAGAAACAAAATGCCAAGAGCATGATGGAGGCTAATGGCACAAATGTACAAATTCTCATTGAGCTATTTGTTACCTTGATAGCATCATACAGACTTTTAATCCACAGTTACTATCCATAGTCTAGAAAAGCACCTGGAACATAATATACCAAAGGCCCACCTGAAATAAAATACAATGGATGAGAATTGCTTGCAGGAATCATATCCAGCAAGCACAGGAACTCAAATGTATGCAGACACAAGCCAGCCAGGCAAATGCTGTACATACATGAAGGAGCATTGACTGCCCCAGTCATAGCATGATGAAAACAATGAGTTTTTTCTTCTTTTTTTTTTTTTTTGAAAGTGATCTTTCTATCTCTGACAATCAGCAAATTTAGCAAAGAGCTGCTTGGCTCTACTAAGAGACAGGACATGGCAAAAGCTTTGCAATCCTTCTCAAGCTGTTCTGGCCATCAGTTTGTGATGTACTTTCCATGGTGATACAAAAACATCCCCACTGGAGTGGGTCACCTTCATGAAAAGGCAAGTGTCCATACCCTACTGCTAGGGATGTCTGCATGACCCCAAAAGATGAATCCTCTACACTTTTTTCTTTTAATTAGCTGTGACAGAAGCAGCTCAGAATGGAAATGCTCAGCTTTTGCCCAGTCATCACTCCCAGTGTACAAGCAGCAGCCACAAGGAACATGGCTGTTCCATGAGGGCTGTAAACAGAAACAGAGGTGGGAAAGGAAAAAACAAAAAAGTGCATGAGCAGGACTGACACCTGTATGCTGGGGAGGGGAAGAGATGCTTGGTCTCCACTAGCTTACATTGTCATACAAACACTAAACCAAAAGAGAATAATGCTGTGGGTTTGGGTTTCCACAAACTGAGGTCTGGGAGAAGCTAAACAACTGCAACATCATTTTGTAACTCCTCCAATTTCTGTAAACTGAAGAGTATTTGAGTGTTTTCTTTGCTCTCTCCACTGTAGCTTGTAGGAAAAAAGTTCATAAATCTTATTTCAATGCAATCAGAAACAAGAGAGAACAGGGAAGAAAGTAAAAAACCCCACCCTAAACAAAGCCCAACATAACCCAAAGGAAAAGACTCAACACATTCCATGTTTTGAAGCACATTAGAGATCTGAACTTCTCCTGGACCCGTCTCTTCCCCCCACCCCAATCTTTATTTCCTTGAAAGCCCCAGTAAGGTTCCAGTTAATTGTGTCACTGGAAGCCTCCCATATTAATAGAAGGTGAATGAATGCTCTGTAACAATCCCATTCTATAGCATAAATCCATAAAAATATATCTCTGACTCTGGCTACCACTTCCAACTAGTCAATAATTGGGCTAATAAGCCAACATAGGGAAACTTTCAAACATTTTTTAGGAGGCAGTTGATCTTTGTTTTTTAGGGATTTCTTTTTACAAAAATAAAGAGAATCAATTAGAATGTTCTACAACAGCCCAGTAAGTTAACCAGAAAAATACTATGTCAATATGTTCAAAGTTTGCCTTGTTATTTTACCCTCAAACTCCAAACACTACTACTCTAAGTGTGCACTCCTCTCTTTTCTTCAATCTTCCTGATTAAAGATAATTAGTCTTCAAAACAAGAATATAAACTTCTACAAATCCCAGCACATAAGCTGGGGGCAAAACAAACCCAGATTAGATTTCTTTCAAGTCTCAGGCACACACAGTGTAATAATTCTCTTCCATTTCTCTACTCTCAAAGCTCTGCAATTGAACAGATTGCTTGGTAACATTTAGTTTTCTGTTTGGTCAATAACAGAAGTGGTAGAGCAACAGAAGATAATGATGGTATTTGCAGCCCTGCATTTATATTGGGACTTTATAAAAATACCCACCCACTAGATATTTGCTCCATTTGAAGGTAAATAGAAACTCTATTATATGGGTAGATAAATAAGAAAGTGCAAGTTCAAGTGACAAGTGAAAGAAAGAACAGATTAATTAAATTTGAGCATCCCAGCAACAACAGCTTTGCCTGAATAACTTCTCTAGGCACTAAGGGACAGAAATTACCTGAACAGCAGCTAGCATTGGAATTATGCTTCAAGTTCAGTTTAACAGAAGTTATGCCAGAAGGGAGCTCTCTTCCTTCCAAAGGTAGAGCTGAGAAATTGCCCAGTGCTGCATCAGATAATTCATATGGCCTTGCATAACAAAACAAGGTCACATTCTCAGAGGCTCTTTGTACAGCACTGGCTGTAATGGACAACAGTGCTGTACAGAGAATATCTAATTATGAGCTACAGGAATTGTAAATCTAAAATGGTAAAAAAAACCCCTTCTTGTTGACATTAAAATCAAGTTAGTATGAATGGAATTAAAATAACTTTAAAACAAGTATCCAAGATTTTGCTGGTCTTCCCTGCATGCAGCAGCTCAGCTCAATTAAATAAAAATCTCTGCCTGTGTATCCTGCAGCTTAACACCCTCATGGACCAATTACCTTTTCCTCTGGAGAAGAAGTTGGCATCAGCCAAGTAAGTAAAAAATCTTCTATTTGGGAAAAAATAGTACTGGGCACCATTTTTCCTTAAAACATTGCCTTTTCTGAGTTGAATTGTGTTAAAAGAAGCATATACAAAGTGCAAGATATTTAATGTCTAATTATGTGGGGCTTTTGCTGCCTGGAGCCAGGAAGGGCAAAGATTCTTAGAAGGAACCTTCTAAGTTAACAGAAGGAAGAAACAATTGAATGATAACCTAGACAGCTACTTTTAATTATCAAAACGTTAGTGGTTTATCAAGAATGTGCTTGGTAGAATTTTTCTTTATCAAACACCATATCTCTTTTGTCAGCTTGTTAAAAATAGCCATTACAGTAACAATAGCAGACTCAAATGTGCAAATGATCTGGAGTACAGAGTTCTAGCATCACTGAAGGTGCACTACTTCCTCCCTGACACTCCTACTCTACCCCCAAAAGATACATAAACATAATTAATTAAATATAAGCAGTAATTTCCAGAGGTTGAGAAAGGAAGGGTAAATTTCACATGGCTGTGTTACACTCAAACAGGGACTTAAAAAATCCCTCCAACAGCATTTAAAAAAAAAAAAATAGCACCTTAAAGAGGGTCACAGCCAAGAACTGATTATCAGATGTTAGAGCAGTGGCAGAGTAAGGTATGAAGAAGTCAGTAATTTCTCCCAAGGAAAAAACACTAAAGAAGCTGACTGGACCATTTCCAGCTAAGGGGCTCCCTCAGATGCTGGAGGCCTGCTCCTGCTCAACCTGCTCTGCAAAAAAGGCTTCAAGGTCCATTAGCTTCTGACTCAGAAGAACATCCAGCTCTGCACTCTGCAGTGCAGCCCTTTTAGCTCGGGTGAAGCTCCCCACTGCTTTGATTTTGCCTCGTGTCTTCCTTTTCCGGGGAAGAGTGAAGTCCTGAAACTCCAGGATCCGCTTTCTCTTCTGCTGGCTGACAGAGATCAAGTGTCCATTTTTCTCCTTGGGCTCCTCAAAGATTGTTTCCAAGCTCCTGGGAAAAAAAGAAAGAACAGAAATCATGAAAAGCTTAGCAGCAGCCACCTTACACTGACAGGGAGACTGAGGGATTTCATAACCCAGGTAAACAACTTCTAACTTTTAGATTTTTACAGCCCCTCCACACCTCTTGTAATGTTATCTGCACCTCCTACAATGCACATTACTGCCAGCTGAGTTGTTATTGATGCACAGACATTTGGGTAGAATCTCTTTGTATTCAGTTCTAAAGCACAATTACAGAATCTTAATTTTCCAGAATAAATAAGTTTGAACATTTGATGACAGGCCATGATTGTTAGTATTTTAAAGAACACGTAATTCCCTTTGAATTTTGGAAAGTAAGTACTGCACTTTGATGGAGACTGGAACGAATGGATAGTGAAAAAATATATAAATCCATACTTAACCAGCTGCAAATTCTTAGTTCATATTCTATTTCACTTTTTCAAATCCAAACAGTAAAATACACTATTTTCAAATTAATTTTCTCTAGCAGTTTAAAGTAGACCAATTTTAGGAATATATCTCTCTCTCAGCTTTCATACACCTTTTATCTCCCCCCCCCACCAATTAATTTACATTTAGGAAGGAGAACCAACCTGGCAGGAGGAGGGGACTTATAGTTCTTGTTTGTGTAAATTTCTTCTAAACTAAATTCTTTCTTCTTAAGCCTGAAAAAGTAATGACAAATCAATCTAGAAAGAAGAATCCCAAAACAACCTCTCTTGACAGCAAGCAGATTTACAAGAAACAAGTACTGTTTGCATTCTGTGCCTAAATTAAATGCTAACTAATTATGCTTTAAGTAACTGGGGACCAGGAGGAATGAAAGATGAGCTCATTAAGTACATGAAGTCATACAGTGTTTCATAAGGGTGGTGTCAAGACTTGCCCTTTCTGCAGAGATCAATACTCCTTCCAGCATTCTGTGATGCTTTGAAATAATGATGCTCAAAAGGGGAAATCTCCTTCACCTTTTTGTGAAAGCTGAGAAGGAGTCTTACAGTTTAACAGATTAATGCTTCATCTCTTGAGACTGGTTTTAGTTATTGACAGTTTCCAAGCTGATCTCTGAAGAAATGCATTCCTTTGTCAAAGGTGGTGCCTGTGTTTAGGACAGAAGTCAAACCAGATGAAATATGACTAATCTGACCAGTGTGACTGGCAGGCACACTGCATGATTGATTGGAAAACTTGATCAACATCTGGCACTGTGATTCCCCACTCTTTCACTGAGCTAATGCTTCCCTGAGATCATACCCCAAACAAAGAAACTGAAAAACTCCAGCACAATTTGCATCAACAGAACTTCCTAACAGATAATTGCATCTCACTGTGCACTGCAGGTTGACTGATTTTCACTTGATCAATAAAACTTCTTTCTTCTTTAGAAAAATTATTGCATTGCAGCTTGCTTTTTCACATTTTGCCTAAACTCCAGTCAGTAGTTTTGATCCAGAAGATAGAGCTGTGTCAATCATTTCTTGTAAAGGAAATAAACCTCAGATGTCACTCAACAGGGGCTGTATAAAATAGTGTGGTAAGAGAAGCATTCATTGAAATGATTCCACTCAAATGCTTTGAGTCCATTTCAGAGGCCCTGCTCACCTTTTTGGTTTGGGTAGTCCCATTGGAGTAAGGTTGGGGTCTGGCTTAGGAACAGTTTTCCTGATTCGGATCTGTGAGACTTTCTTTGGCCTCTTCTCTGGCTCAGTCTTAAGAAAGAAAGATGAAAAGTTAAAATCAAAGAAATGAAAACCATACTAGTCAACAGAATTCCCTTTCATTCTGAATATGCATAATCTATAGAATAAACATTCCTCTCTGGTTTGCCACCTTCTTTCTGCTTGAATCAAAGCAAGCAGCAGCACAGAGCAGGACCTGCACCCTGTTTTCTCTCCTCATCTTTAAACAGTTACTTGATAATATCCACCAGCAGCAGCTCCAGCTTCTGGAGAACCAAGAGTCTGAGAGATCTAAAATATAAAATGAACTCACTTTTTTCAGTTCTGTGTCATCTTGGGATCTCAGACAGGCTGGAACAGAAGCATCTGCTTCCTCAAGGGCAGGGATGTGGAGCTCAGATGCTGAAAGCCTGGGGGGAGATGGCAATGGCTCTGGAAGTGTGTGAGGCTTTGGGAATGGAGGAGGGAATGAAGTTTCCAGACTGTAACAGAGAAAAAGGGAACATGTGTAGACTGATGCCCAGCTGATAATGCAACACTATTCCATGCTCTCAGGAGATGTTCCTAAATTGCAATATGGGCACAAAAACCCAACACAAGTCACAGAAATGGCCCAAGTAAGTGAACTCTGCTACACACATACAGCCAAACCTGCTGCACCCCACATTTGATACTGACACCAATAAACTGCCAGAGTATTTGAACATGTCCTTTAAAACCCACTCTTTTCTTTTTCATTCAGCTAAACAGTATACAACTCTATATGAACTGACAGAAAGGGATCAATCCTCCTTTTCTGCCAGCAAATTTCCTTGACACAACTATTAATCACACTTTTTGTTTACAGATAAAATATAGCTGTGACACCTGCCATCCCTACACTTGGAAGGAATAGAAAGAAGTTTCAGCACCTAGCATCCAGTTGCTAAGGCAGAAAGGACTTCTATCCAAGTAAGGAGTCAAATTCCTATCCAAGTAAGGAGTCAAACTTCTATAGTCTCATATATTCATTTCATAAGAAGTGGCACAACATGGTTGAAAGTAACAGAACTGCTCTGTGCACTGTTCTATGTGGTGTTTGCATAACTGCCCCTGCACTCCTCCATTTCATCACCCAGTCAGCATTCCTCACCCACTTCCTAATCAGAAAGCTGAAAGCCAAAATGACATTACAATGGCTTTCTGAGGAAGGTTATGGTCCCACTACTCAGGATAAATACCAACACCCCAGATACTCACTGTGTCACATGGCCTGCAGTCTGCAGGGCTCCCATGCTCTGGACAGGTGAGTGTGGTAACATGGCACAGCTGGGTCAAAGAGGAATGAAAAAACAAAACAACACAGACAGAAATTAGGGCTACACTATAAAAAGATGAGGGAAAAATTATTAGTATAAACTGGATTGTAAGACAAGATGCTCTTATCAGGAATGAGAATGAAAGACTAAAATGATACAAAAGAAAGCCACATCTGTTTAGGTAATTAAATTTCATTGTTAGGGAAACTGTCCTGCTTTCCTTTAAAAATGGTATTAATGAGAAAAGGAAATAAAGGCACAGAAAGGGAGTGAGACAGTAATATTAAAAGTCATAATTATTTGAAATCTGAAAATTGTAATTCTTTCTATGAAAGTCTATTTTCCTTATTAAAAACCTCAAGTTTTTACAATTTAAGTAACCAAAAACCTTGAAGGACTTGGTTACTAAAGAAAATAGTGCATAATGGCAACAGTAACAGGTAAAAGGAAGTACTTCCATTACATTAATTCCCTGTTGTCTCTGACTCCCACAGCCTGCAATACCCTTAACTTGATTGGAATAACCAAAGGCCTTTCCATAAGGGCTGGTAATGACCAGAATTCTGTGGCATAAAAGTCAGCAAGGCAGCTCTAAGTCCTTTGATATTAAGCTTTACTTTTGTGCCCAAATTGTTAACAGCAGGAAATCACTCAGGACAGCTTTTTACTACATTCAACAGCAAATCTTGCATTTGCTGTTCTCTCTAACCAGCAGTGAAATGCACTTGACTGTTCTAAAGCAAAGAAGTTACAGCCAGACTGGAGTTCTACAAGGGAAATGAAAACCAGCCATGCTGGAAGCACAGGGAAGTCTGACTACACATAAAGAGGTCAGAGAGACCCAGTTATTGTGTTTATCACTTATGGCAGAACTGTAACATTTTGTTTCAACATTCCACTCATTATTCCAGTGTTACTGCAACCTGTATCCATAGTGCAGCAGAGCTCTCTCTGTTAGAGACAGAGCTTATTGCTTTATGCAATAATAATAATACAAAATTACAAGGACAGAAGGAAATCACTTTAGAGATTTTTAATTCAAATAAGCATTAATTAGAAAAAAACTTCACTGAAAGAATGCTTTTATTATTGACAGTGGAAGGGACAGTGGAAGTTATTAAGAACACGAATTGTGAGTGAAATATTTTAAAGAGGACAAATCTTTTCCAGATTAAAATGGCCCGCAGGGAACTTTTTGATTTTTCTGATTTTTAATTATCTTAAAACAGGCAAGAATTTCTGTCATAGTGGGAGCTGAAAAGGCTTTTATACTGCACCAAACAAACCTCTAATATTTATGTACCAAACATCTGAGTGGGACAGATTTATGTCTGCCTCATACACATTGCTGTAAGGCATTTTGGAGGAAAAAAAACAAATTGAGTTTTAGGGTATTTAACTCTGGATTATTTTTCACTTGAAGATGTTTGATTTGAATACTCTCCCTTTGGGAAGAAGATCACCACTCATAGCAAAGCACTTTTCCAATGACTCCTTACACGGGGAATGAAATCCTCTTGCACATGAGCTGACTGGATGTGCTGTCCCGAGCTGCTGAGGAGCCTGCACGCTTAGGGATGTGGGAAAACCCCAAGTTAGGAATCCCACACTTAGGGATGTGGGAAAACCCCAAGTTCTGATCTCCCAGTGCAAGGAGAGCATGCTTCAGCAACACAAAACAATGAATTCACCTTATACACACAAATACATTTTAAAAAGATGTTTTTTTTGTTTTTAACAATATGTTATTTTTAAGTTTAGTGCTCAAACTGTACTTTAGTGGTATGATCACTTTCAGAGTATGGAATGAAAATGGAAGTAAGTCCCATAGAATGTGCTGCAAAAATTGTCTCTATGCCATTATTCAGCTTAGTTCTTTTAGTGCAGACAGCTCCAGAATGGAGCAGTGCTTTCACAAGCTCACTCACACCTTTGGCAGACATTAGAATTTATACTAAAAAGTGATAAATTTTTAGGTATGTTACCCATTGATACAAAGCAAAGTGCAGCATTTGTTATCTGGCAAGATTTTTGGTTACACCTGTGTTAATCTGTGACACAGGCTAAATTCAACAGCTTTCCACAGACTGCCACACTAATCAAACCAATTAATTAAATAGACTTTGGTAGAGTGCTCATGAAGCTCTCTGCCCAGGAATTGCAAGGTGACAAAATCAGGGACTGAACTGTCCTATGTTACTGAGGGATAAAGGGCAAAATCTTTGCTCAAGGGCATGCAAAAATCCTGGAACATCTTTCATTCTTTTTATAAGCAAAATGATCTTAAATGCTCATAGCAAAGTAAAATTAAATTTGCAAGGTCGATTTCAGTCCTCTTCCCACTTGTAACAAGATTGACACACAGAGAAAAATTCATTACCAATATTAACTGGAGCTACATTTGCTTGTGCCAACATCACATATGAAAAGCCATAGCATGCACAAAGAGGTTTCAATTAGCATAGAATGGTCATGGAATACAATTAAAAATGTTACTGAATGACACCCCCCGCCCTTTACAATTCTTCCTGACCTGATATTGAGCATTTTACAGTGGTTCCAAGGGGTATTTGTGGCTCAGACCTCTGAAAAAAACTTTCCTACCTCAGAAATCCAGTTCCTCTGCAGTCACTCTGAATAGACCTAATGAAGTAGCTCACCTTTTGCATTATATACTCTGATGCATGGTGTGTATATTTTGCAAGGGAGAAGAAAATAGAGTTAGCCATTCTGCCAAAACAGGATAGTATTAAAGAAGCGAAGGCAAATATATTTAAATTCAGCTAAAAGACTGTTCTGTAAGAAAGGATCTTCCACGTTGAGCCATTCCTGGAGCAGAATGTGTAGATCTGGAAGAGGAGAAATTGACCCTCCAGTGCAAGCTGCCATCACCCTCTCCCTCCCAAAAAGGAGCAAGAATACACCCTGCACACAGTTAATCTCAGAAATAAGGTGATGGGTTTTACCTGTTCTCGATGGCCACACTTGGCTGCCACTTGCAGAGATTGGAAAGGAGAGGAGTGATTTCGGAAGGACAGACAGCGGGACCGTGCTGACTCCATATGGACAACACCCTGCCCAGGGAGTACGGCAGGGAGGACACCAGGCCATCGGACACACACCTTGGCAGCCTGGCCCCTTTCAAACCCTGGGCCAGCTGGGATATAAACAGTCTCTGGATGGTAGGAATATGGCTGGTTAAGTTTCTTCTTCTGGTCCAAATCCTGTAACATCCAGGGGAAGAAAGTGCTAACACTGTGTGAAGGCCGAGCGTGGAACAACCTCCTCTTCTTCCAGCTACAGTGTTTCTTCCAGGGTCAGGATGAACAGCAACAGTCCTGGGGTTTGTTGTGGAGTGAGAGGAATGGAGATCATTATTTACACAGGAATCTTCCTGGAAAGCTGTTGTATCTGAACAGCTCTGAGAAAGGAGAAAAGACAAAGTCCACTTTGAAGCTGGTGCTGGCGTTTCTCTGAAAACTGGGCTGTGATGTACAGAGTGCTGGGATGTAATCCCTCTGAGGTCTGTCACAGGACTGGAGTCCAGTTTGATGTGAAAAGAAACTGGGAAAACTGAGGTGTCCAAGAAAGAGGCTGGAGGCTCGTGGCTTAAGTCTGAAGAAAGTATTTTGGTAGTTTCTACAGGATAAAGTGCCAAAGGCTGAAAGCTGAACATCTTGGTGCACCAGCTGTCAGCCCAGCGTGAGTGTACGTTCCTGTTAATGCAAGAAAAGGCTTCCAAGAGATTTTTAGATCTACATTGGCTGTACCTGTCACCCACTGGAAGAATTTCAGAAGAATATGGCAGGGGTTCTAAATTACGGCTGCTTTTGGCAGGGGCCAGGAGCTTGCTGGCCATTGCAGACAACTTGCTCAACAATGCTGGTTCTTTGGTACATTTTCTAAACTTCAAGCTGTTCAACAAACTGCATCTCTTGGCCCTCTGCCTTGGCATATGCACAAATCTCATGGCTGTTTCCTTTTCCACTGTCGGTGGTTTACATGGAAAGTACAAAGATTCCAGAAGCGGGTTTTCCTGTTTAGGGAATATTTCCAGGGGAATCTCAGAGACAGGGGAACTTTTCATTGTTTTCATTTTTCTTACGGATTTTAGCTGATAGAAATTGGGAACTTTTTTGCATGTCCTTCCAGGTTGTATTTTTAATGGAAGAGGTCCTCTTAGTTTATTTGTAGTTCCTCTTCGTTTATTTGTAGTTCCAAAGGCACCAGGGATCCCATCATATCCTAAATTAAGGTTCAGGTTTTCCATTTCTGAATCCTGAGTCTTCAAAAACTGTGAACTAATAAAATCTGGGGTAATCTTTGGCCTTTTAACTTCTTGTAAAGTGCTACATAGTTTACTTTCACTGCCTCTTACAGCAACAATCCCCTCTGAAGCACCTCCAAACCTGGTACTTCTAGATGTCATCAACTCAGCTGAAGAGCTGCATAAGAGTTCAGAACTGTGCAACATACTTGGTTGCAGTATGATTTTTGCTTTCTCCTGATGTTCTAACTTCTGTTCTTGTTGTGCCTTGCCCAACTGATGTGCTTCCATCTTTCCATACTTCTTCTGTATAAATACTTGACGTTCCTCTATTTGATCAAGTCTCTCTGAACATAAAGCCCCATTTTCCTTGCAAACTGCACCCGTTGGTATTTTGTCCTGGCTTTCTGTTACTTCCTTTACATTATCTTTGCTCCGTGCATTTAATTTGTAAGGCACACACACTTCACTGCAAACCACATGGTTTGGGGATGGTTCTTTGCAACTCTCTGATAGTGTGCTCAGAGGTGGAGAAAATGTGGGCGTTGCATCATCCTGCACTTCTGGGGCAGCCTCTGTGGCAGATACAGCTCCAGCCTCACAGTCACGCACAGTTTCTGGAAGTACACCGGTACCTACTGAGTTTGGGAGCTTTGTATCATTTTGTCTTTCTTTTGAAAGATTATTTAGTTTGGATCTTGGGATTTCTTCCAAAACCTTTCCATAATTCTCAGTCCTGAGGGGGACTATTTTGCTACCAGAATCTTTAGAATCTTCCAACAAGGCCCATGAACAATCTTTGGGCAACCTTCCTCTAGGGGCTACCTCTTGTACTGTCATCTCCTGTACACAGGTATTCTTAAATTTCTCTTGACCAGGAGGACTTTCTGGTGAGCTCATGTCCATGTCTTTCCCAGCTGGCATGCAAAGCCCCTCACCTTTCAGACTTTCTTTGCTGTGGGCACAAACTCTTGAGCTTTTGGCACCATTCAGAGAGCCAGCTGCTGATTCATTCCCTGAAGATGGAGCCTCAATATTGCTGGATTTTTTCTTAACAGAAATTGTTACAGAAAGAATTTTTGTCATTGAAGTATCTTTGCTAAATTTTTTGTCTGCAGATGAAATATCTCTTTGTGTATTCTCAGGTGACACACACAGCTTTTCTTGCTCAGGCAGAGAGATGTGAGAGTTCAGAGCTGACACAGATTCTGAATCCACCCAAGTCTTAGTAGTTTTCTGGAGGTCAAACTTTTCAGAATGGGATGCACAAATACCCCTTTGATCATCAGTTTCTTTACCAGGCTCAAAAGTTAACTGGGGGCAAGAGTTATTTAAGATCGGAGTTACAATCAGACTTTCTCTGTTTTCTGTATCTGACAGCACATTTTTATTTTCTGGCTTGTCTGTATTCTTAAACTTCTCTTGACCAGGAGAACTTTCTGGTGAGCTCATGTCCATGTCTTTCCCAGCTGGCATGCAAAGCCCCTCACCTTTCAGACTTTCTTTGCTGTGGGCACAAACTCTTGAGCTTTTGGCACCATTCAGAGAGCCAACTGCTGATTCATTCCCTGAAGATGGAGCCTCAATATTGCTGGATTTTTTCTTAACAGAAATTGTTACAGAAAGGATTTTTGTCATTGAAGTATCTTTGCTAAAAACTTCAGCAGAAGATGAATCACAATTATCTCTTTGTGTACTCTTGAGTGGCATACACAGCTTTTCTTTCTCAGGCAGAGAGATGTGGGAGTTCAGGGCTGACACAGTTTCTGAATCTCTCTGAGTCTCAACACAAGATTCTTGGATGTCAAACTTTCCAAAATGAGATGGACCAACGCCCCTTTGAGCATCAGTTTCTTTACCAGGCTCAATAGTAAACTGTGGGTGAGAGTTATTTAAGATAGGATTTATACTCAGACTTTCTCTGTTTTCTGTATCTGAAAGCATATTCCTATTTTCTGGCTTGTGTGAAAGACTCCCATGAATTGATGAAATGGGCAGAAATTGAGCACTAATTGTATTTTCCTGGTTCTCCACCAACCACTTTATCTTTGGCAAAGATTGCTGCATTTTGTTTCCTGCAAACACCAGCTCTGCTTCCTCTTTTGCACATTGGATAAAACGAGCCTGCTGTGAGCACTGTGCTTTGTCATCAGAAAAGTTTTCTTCAAGTGCTCCTTTATTGTTTCTTTCACATCTGTTCTCATGTTCTCGTAGTCTGATTGTCTCCTCTTCAATTAGATCACTGATGGAGTCCATGGATCCTGAAGAATCTTCATTTTTCACACCAATGAAAGAGTCCAATCCCATGACATTCTCTTGTACAGCTCCTTTAAACCTGGCTTCTCTTGCACGTTTATGGTCCAACAGAGGCAGGTCAGCAGCTGTTTTTAGCAGAACCTCTTCCCTGTGATTAGGGTCAGTTTTGTCTCTTTCCACAGAACCCGTTATGCTTTGTGAGCCAGTGCTGGGTTGGGTGGTTAAACTTTCTAAATGCTGCTCACTGCCCAGCACTGGGACATCAGACTCAGTGTGACAGGGATGACACTGATTTCCCAAGGGACAAAGGGTCTCCTGTGTTTGGCCAGCATGTTGTGTTGGAACATTCACATTGTCCAGTGCTGGCTGTGGAGCACAGGTTGAAGGGCTACACTCAGAGGGATCAGCTGTGAGCAATGGCATTTCTTCCTGCTCATGTTCTCTCTTCCATGGGCCTAGCAGAGAGTTGTAAAATCCAAAATTATGAGCACGGGTGTTTTTGTTCAAATATCTGACCAACAGCTGTTCATTAGTCCTATTTCTCTGATTGCCTTCAGGAGCATTTGGGGAATCCACAGCTCTTGTTTTATCAAACTCATCTGTCTGGGAAGCACACATGCCAATGTGTTCTTTTGCCTCATCTCTGTCACAAACAATTTCACTGCCCATTGCTTTGTAAAGATCAAATTGTTCCACAACTTCCATATTCTTATTTGAAACCTCATCTCTTGCCAAGGTAGCAGCAGACTTCTCTGCAGTATATGCTGAGCAAAACATGGTTTTTCCTGTGGGAATATAATTTGTCCCATGCAGAGCTCTACCTCTGTTGCCCCAGTCATTTTCACAAAGAAGAGATCCACGTGCCAAAGGGGTGTGTGCTTTTGGAAAGATCATTGCCTCCTTACTGTTATACCCTGATGAAGACACTCCTTCCAAATTATCCTTTTCTTCAGTCTTATCAACTTCAACACCAAAAGACTGACTGTTCAGGAAAACTTCATCCACACATGTACTCCCTGATAAAATACAGGAAGTGCTGGCAGCTGTACACTGGTTTTTTATACTCTTGTTATTACAAAGCCATGTGTGACAATGTTCATTTTTTAAACCAGTGATCACTCTCTCTGTATTTCCTGCAGAAGATTTTATATTCATTTGGGATACTCTGCTTGCTGTATTAGGGTTATCAAAAGTCATGGAATTTACAGAAGACTTGAATTTGTCTTTATGAAGCAAAACTTCAGCAACTTGTTCTGCTGGTGTTCCAGAAGAACCAATTAATTCTTTTCTAGACCAATTATCCCAAGCCTTGTCCCTGCATGAAACTTCATTATTAGTACAAGGAAGACACTCATTACAATGAGGTTCTCTTGATTTTTGTAAAACAGGAGGTAGAGTTACATTTAGTGTATAAAACAAATTTGTTTTCTTCCCAGTGGATAAGCAGTCATTACTATCAGCTTTTGCAGCTCCAGCTAAACCACCAGCCAACTCTTCTGATGTTTTATTGCTCTCAGATTCCTTTTCAAGCAGTTGTGCCTTGGGTGAGTCTTTTTCTAGCTTGGTACCAAGATGAAGACAGCTGTGGTTACTGAGAGGAGGGATTTTATTGGCAGTACTATAAAAGCCTATGTCTCTCTGCCCGGTTTCATGGGAAGCAATGTTACTTGTTTCCACCCACAAACTATTTTCTTTTGTATCATTCTTGCATGGGTCACTGACAGAGAATTGCCACTGGTCCTTTTTCAACTTATCACTTTCTGACAGGAATATTTTAAATTTTTCTTTTGAGAACTCCTCAGGAGATGAAGCAACAGAACTAAAAACTGGAGAATGACACTGCTCAGAATTAGCAGCCTTTTGAGCTTCAGGCCAGCGACAAATTTCAACATTATCTCCCACAGCAATTTTTCTCCAGACTTCAGCTGCTTCTTCAGATTCAGAGCTGTAGGATTTTCCTATAGCAGCACTTAATTCCCTACCATCAGTTTTTGCACTAGATAATCCTTTTTTCCTTACCACTGAGATCTGCTCCAGTGGTACAGATGTGGAGGTTTGGTTTGTTAAAAGCCCAGTTCCACGATCATAAAGAGTGTGGTGTTTGATGTTTTGGGGAAGGTACTTCTGGGGGGTTTCACTGATAATTCTGTGAACTGCAGAACTGCCTTCTGGTGGCATATTTCCAAAGTCCAGATTGCAGACGCTTTTCAGAACTGGACATAAAACGTCAGAACTTGGTGTGGAGAGTGTTCTACAGCTTTCTGCTGAGAACAACTCGTGAGGTTCATTTTGTTCAGGTACAGGACCCTTAAAGAAGTCATAAGCATCATTTTCTTCATCCTGCTGACAAGTCTGGCAATTAGCAAATGATGTACTGAATTCATTAAGAGGATTTTGTCTGGGTAACTTTTCTTCTCTAACCTCCAAAACAGATACACCATTCCCCCCTGTTCTCAATGGCATGGCAGCATGGGCTTCTGACCCACTATAGTCACTTGTTTTTTGTGGATGATCTGCAGCTGCTCCAATGTCCATGACTTTTAAAGGCTCTAAAAAACCTAAGATGCTGGTTTCTGAAACCCCAGCTCTGGCCATGACTGTGTCTATGTCTGGGCATTGACTGCCCTCAGGTGGAAGACCTGTACTCACTCTGTCATTGCTGTATCCTGCTTTACTAAATATCCTAGTCCCATCAGCCTTCATACCTTGTACTTCTTCAGTGAGCTTTGGCAGAGTTTCAGCTGTCACCTGAACATTTGCTTGGTTTTCTTCTGCATAAGAAAAAAAAAAGAAAGCACTCAGAACCATAAGCTAAATTTAGAAGGCATTCAGCTCATTAAGTACCTTTTGTTGTTGTACACAACACTCCGTGCAGTGTTGGTTACCAAATGTTCTTACAAGTGAGAATTGATGCTATCAATTTTAGTACAAGTCTTTAGAGGAAACAACAAACAATTCCACCACAAAGCTAAGGCAACAAAACCAATCCTTTTCAATACAGACATTTCCATGAGCAGCAAGCATTCCAAGTCCTGCACGTTTCAGATTCCTCTAATATCAAGCTAGGTGAATGCAGATCCTGTAACTTAACACACAGGAAGCCATGGCCAACATTAAAATAATGCTTATTTGTAACATCAAAATTCAACATAGGCTGGGACTTGATCTGCTCCAGCCTAGAAATAGGCTGGAATTGTGTGGCCTTTTCCATTTTTTCTTCCTAGGAAACATGTCTGTCAGTAACTCATCCACAGGAAAACAAGACATATCTCATCTGCCCAAGCAACTTGGATTATTCATAAAGTTTCTTCTGTAAAAGAAACTTCACAAAGAAGGTGCTAATTAAAAAAATTACAGTTACTGTAGAATATCTTCATACTCAAAATTTTACAGGGAACATATTTACTCAGAATTCTGCAGATCTTTTCCCTGTTTCCTAGCAAGCAACAAGACTAGATGGCATTCATCAGCTAAATACAAATTTAGGTAAAGACAGCAGGGGGGGAAAAAGAAAATAAGTACTAGATTCAGGCAAAGTGACCAAAGTACTTGGAGCTAGAAAATTATGGAGGAATTATAATGAAATTAATAATTACTTTAGCTGTCCTCTTTCTTTGGATTGTATTTTTTAGAACACTCAAAAATGAATGAGTAATACTTTGTATATATATATGTTATTACTGCTCTCATACCTCCATCTTTGAAACAAAAGGAAAGGCAAAAATCTGCTATTAACAATCTCTTCTCCTTTGGAAACAAATAACTAAAACACATCTTCTACAGAAAAGGTCTTGAGGCAAGTACATACCCTGCCAGGAGAAAGTAAAGCATTAGGTTTTGATAGTGTTATAATTACACAGGGTGATACTTTCTAAATGAGCCATCCCACAATCACTCATCTGCTTTAAATCAACAATAACTGGGAGAGAAGCAGGGGCTGGATGGAGATGTACAGCTAAAATGTACCTGTGCTCCTCAGAGATCCTGCAATTTCAGTGCAATAGGTTCTCAAAGACTTTGCCTCTTGCTCATTTACGTGAGGGTCCTCCTGAAACAGGACAGAAATATGGTCAGACATGGTTATTTATGGTTAGATAGAAAAATGGTTCGATTTTCTGAGGTGTGTCATGTCTCAGGGACTGCATCTGCTCAGCTGGGTTAGTTCAGAACAAGAAATTCATTAAGAAACCTCCAGACACATCAGCCTTGGCCAGAGGCAGCCTTGCATTGCAAAGGCTTCACACAAGCACTAAGGATGTCTCCCCAAAACACTGCTGTATTTAGCAGCAATGACATCTTGTGATGTGGCAGCTAAAATGTAAGTACAGGGCTTAAAATGCAAATTGTTGAAAATTGGAATGAGAAGAGTAATCCAGTGTCCAAGTCTAGTTCACACTGCCACTAGACTCCTGGGAAGATGTGTGTCTCTATTGGAACTTGGCTTCTACTATTCCTTGGGCACAAACCCAGGAACAGGTGACCTAGATCTGCCAGCAAAACCACCAAACCATGATCCCACAACCAAACTACCTGCAGTTAGAAATATAGGAAAATTCATCTTGAAAACTGAATGACTATAAAGAATTTAATAATTTTAATTTCACAAAAGCGATAAATATTTTTTTTTAAAAAGTCAGATACATCAAACAGATATCAAAATTTGAAATTAAACACACAAAATTATGCAACACCCAATAATTAAGGTAAAACACTCAGCTGTGCACCTTTTTCTGTTACATATCTGCCTTACACCATTCCAGCAGTATTTAAGCAAGTGAAAACACTGGTATTTTAAAATACTGCTGGTCTACTGAATTATTGTCTAATTTTTCACCCACAACAATCCAGGTACTGACACACACACCCCCCCCTGGATGTGCCCAAGGCCGGGCTGGAGGGGGCTCTGAGCAACCTGGTCTAGTGGAAGGTGTCCCTGCCCATGGCAGGGGGTTGGAACAAGGTGACCTTCCAGGTCCTCTTCCCACCCAAACCATTTTATGATTCTATACTGGAGGACACAAAAAAAGAATGAGGAAACCCATTGCTAAACCCACTGCCTAGTGACTCTAACCATAAATTCAAATTATCACACAGGGATTCATTTCTGCATTCACTTACTTGTTCTGACCAGCTTTCCCCCAGAGTTAAAGGACAACATTCAGCATGATGGTCCTCAGCACCTTGTGCCTCTTCATCTTCTTTCTGGTACCCATCACCAGAACAGTCTACTTTCCTAAAGCGTCTTTTTCTGCTTTTTTCATCCTCTGCGATGTCTCCAGCCTGTCGTAATTCTTCAGGAAAGGGTTCTGCTGGCCCATGGGAAATCACCTGGAGCACATCACCCAGATCCTGTGTCTTGTGGCAGAAGTTTCCTATGGCAGAAGCCCACGGCCCATCCCTGTGTGCCAGCACGGGCACTGGCCCATCCGACTGTGCATCCAGGCCCAGGCTGGGCCCCGGCCCTGCCATGAGGTGCCTGGAGATGCTCTCTGGCAGCCCAGTGTACAACTCCTCTATTACAGCAGACACAGAAGAATCAAGGAGAGACTCCACCCCAGATGAGAGCATCAGGGCTGTTGAAGATCAGTTGCCCTGAGCTTTTCAGTTTATCCTAAAAATAAAAGCAACGTTAAATCAATGTACATTGGATTAACCACAGAAAACCCTGAGCTGGAAGGGACCCTCAAGGATCACTGAAATCCAGCTTCTGGACTAGGTTAAAATGAAAAGCTTAATTCCTCAAGATTCAAGTATATGTGTTTAAGAAAGATACTTCCAAATATGTCTTTAAGAAAGGAGCTGAGGAAGATTTGAGTATCTAAGGAAATGCTTCATGAACAAATAAAGAGAGTAAAGCCAAATAGATAGTCCCAAGCCTCATTTCCACATTCACACATCTCCCTGCAGATTTAACCACATCTTCTGAATAACCTGAGAAGAGGGGTTTGTATCCGACATCCTCCTCCTTCACTAGAACCAAAGCATTGTTGGATTTCCTGGGATTTTCATGAGTTTCTAGTCTTTGGAAAAAAGCTCCAAGTTTTCTTCACATTCTGTACCACAAACGAACACTGCCTAAGCCATCAACCACCAGCCTGTGCCTGTCATTTTGTGCTGTCCCGCAGTGCAGAGGTGCCTTGTGCCCGGACACAGCCCCGCTCCGGATCCGCTTCGGCCCGGAACCGAACACGGGCAGCGGCTTTGTGAGCACGGGACAGGAGCTCCGCCTGAGCCGGCACCGGGACAACCCCGCCGTGCAAACGCCGCCGTCAATCGCTCCCGGAGGCTCACGGACAGGAGCGGGCTAAGCCAGGCCTTTCGAGGAGCCCCAGTGACTCAGTTTAACAAAACTCGGGCTTATCACCGAGCGCTGGTCTGTGCTTCTCTAGCAGCCTGTACAAACACCGGGGAAACTCGCACCAGCCTCCCGGGAATACGGGAGGCCACTGATCCCGGGAGAGCATCACCGTCCCGGCGGTGCCGCCCGAGCCCAGCCGCGCCGGAACCGGGGGCAACCCTTTGTTCCGAGCGCCGCCGCAGCGCCGACAGAGCCGCCCCCGAGCCCCGCTCCTTCTCCGCGGCAGCAGCCCCGCACCGGCCAGAGCCGAGGGTCCGCAGCTGCGGCGGCGCACCGGAGATCGCCGCTCTCGGTAATTACACAACCGCCGGTGTCTCCCCCGCGCCCGGGCTGAGCAGGGCCCGCGCCGCCCACTCGGGCCCGCTCCAACTCCCGGCGGGCGGCGGCGCGCGCAGGAGGCGGGGCCCGCCCGGCGCACCCCGCGCCCCGCCCGCTGCCGTTACCTGAGCGGCGGCGGCCGCCGGCCCCGCTGAGCGCGCCCGCCGCGCCGCGCCCCGCCCCGCGCGCATCACTTCCGCATCCGGGGCGGGCCCGCGCGCAGAACCGGCAGCCGCGGCTGTGGCCCCGCCTCCGGCAGCGCCCGCCCCGCCCCTCACCGGGTCGGGTCCGTCCCGCCCCCGAGGTGGGCGTGTCCCCCGCTCCTTCCCACGATGGCGGCGCAGGTGTCACGTGGCGCGCGGCCCCGGACGCGGAAGTGCCGCGCGGTACCCGCGGGACGGCACCGGCAGGGCAGGGCCGGGCCGGGCCCCGCGTTGGGCACTCCGCGAGCAGGGCCGGGACTGCGCCGCGCTCTGCTCTGCTGTGGCACGGTCGGCCCCGGCCGCGCTGCCCCGGGCTGTGAGCGGCACGGAGCGTTGAGGTGTCCGGGCTTCCTTCGCGCCCGGACTGCGCCGTTCTCCCCGCTGTCCTTCCCCCGGGGCTCTGCCGGAGCCGCCGCGCTGCTCGCTCTGCGCTACTGCCTCCCGTGCGGGTAAGGACCCTGGCGGGCCTCTGTGCCCAACCGGCCCTCGCCGCTGCTCCCGGCAGGCACTCGGGTGTCTCGATGCGCTTCTCCTTCCCTGTAAGCGAGCGGCCGAATGGACGCACGGTTCCATGGCTGTTTAATGGCTGTAGGCACGGCAGCGGACTGGAACCGCTTGGCTTTGTTTGCTCTCCCCTCCGGCCCTGCTCTTTGAGGCGCCCTCGGTGCGGATCTGCCGCCTCGCAGCACCAAGCGGCGCTGCTTTCCAGACCCGCACCACTTCCAAGTTACAGACTTTGTTTTAACAAATTTTAGTTATACCGGGCTTTTTCCCCCACCAAGACTCTCTAGCTCGGTAATTGACTTTCTGTAAAGCACTTCTGCAAGCTCAACCCTTTAATCTATTATAAAAGCACACTTTTAGTCCCTCTCTCCTTGTGCCTGTACCTGTAGCTGCTCCGCACTCTCCTGTGCTGGGCGCAGCTCTGCCGCGCTGCGGTGAAATCGGCCGGGACAACGCGCTGTGTTCACGTGCAGAACGTAAACAATGGTTCTGCATTGACAAGAGATCTGTGTTTGCTTTCCTTTCTATGTTAGATATGCAAGATGCCTTTAACCGTCTTGGCTCGAAGCGTCTGAGAGGAACTGGAGCTCAAGATGAGAACCAACAAGGTGTACAAGCTCGTCATCCATAAGAAGGGGTTTGGAGGCAGTGGTCAGTATCTCCTTGCTCATAACAGTGAGACCAATACTCAATTGAAAGCAATTGTTTTATTGTAAAATTGCAATTGTAAAAGAGTGAAGATATAACAAGCAATATTTCCAGCCAGAGTCTGAAAGGCTCTTTCTGATAACAGGATACAGCAAAATAAATGAACGTTTGTTGGAAGAGACCAAGATTGTATCTAAAAAAATTGCTTTATTTTTTCTTCCTCCCTTTTGTTGCAACACTTTTCTCTTGATCTGGTGTTTCTAGTCACCCTAATGAGTGGCATATATGGCATATATGCCAGTGACTTATGACTGCACATAGATGTGTTTCTGAGCACTAGTAACAGTGCCACTGATTGGATTGCTCACTGTTTCTAGACTTACACATTGATAAATCTTGTTGAGATTCTATGGTTGTCTACTTTCCTGCTGGTGTTTGTTATATGAAAAGTACAGAAGATGATTCTGGTTGCCTAAATAAGACGCAGTCTTTTGTGAACACTTCTTTTGTGAAAGTTCTGTTGAGTTGTTTATGCCTGCAGGAGTGGCTGGGTGGGGACCCTGTCATGTGGAGAATAGAAAGCATTTTGCTAATGTTCATCTTGGTTTGGAATATTTATGTATGCTGAGCTGTTGTAGGCAAACATGCAGGTGTCTGTGTTCACTGC